GGAACGGTGGTGCTGCCATGGGAACACGGTGCGGGCTGCCGGCTGGAACGGTGGGGGCTGCCATGGAAACGGTGGGGCTGCCGCGGGAACGTGCGGGCTGCCACGGGAACGGTGCGGGCTGCCATGGGAACGGTGGGGGTGCCATGGGAACGGTGGGGGGCTGCCACGGGAACGGTGCGGGCTGCCATGGGAACGGTGGGGGCTGCCATGGGAACGGTGGGGGGCTGCCACGGGAACGGTGCGGGCTGCCACGGGAACGGTGCGGGCTGCCACGGGAACGGTGGGGGCTGCCGCGGGAACGGTGCGGGCTGCCATGGGAACGGTGGGGGCTGCCATGGGAACGGTGGGGGGCTGCCACGGGAACGGTGCGGGCTGCCGCGGGAACGGTGCGGGCTGCCACGGGAACGGTGGGGGCTGCCATGGGAACGGTGGGGGCTACCATGGGAACGGTGCAGGGCTGCCACGGGAACGGTGCGGGCTGCCACGGGAACGGTGGGGGCTGCCATGGGAACGGTGGGGGCTGCCGCGGGAACGGTGGGGGCTGCCATGGGAACGGTGGGGGCTGCCATGGGAACGGTGCGGGCTGCCACGGGAACGGTGCGGGCTGCCATGGGAACGGTGGGGGCTGCCATGGGAACGGTAGGGGCTGCCATGGGAACGGTGCGGGCTGCCGCGGGAACGGTGGGGGCTGCCAAGGGAACGGTGGGGGCTGCCGCGGGAAACGGTGGGGGCTGCCACGGGAACGGTGGGGGCTGCCATGGGAACGGTGCGGGCTGCCGCGGGAACGGTGGGGGCTGCCACGGGAACGGTGGGGGCTGCCATGGGAACGGTGGGGGCTGCCGCGGGAACGGTGGGGGCTGCCACGGGAACGGTGGGGGCTGCCATGGGAACGGTGGGGGCTGCCGCGGGAACGGTGGGGGCTGCCACGGGAACGGTGGGGGCTGCCACGGGAACGGTGGGGGCTGCCATGGGAACGGTGCGGGCTGCCGCGGGAACGGTGGGGGCTGCCGCGGGAACGGTGGGGGCTGCCGCGGGAACGGTGGGGGCTGCCGCGGGAACGGTGGGGGCTGCCGCGGGAACGGTGGGGGCTGCCATGGGAACGGTGGGGGCTGCCACGGGAACGGTGGGGGCTGCCATGGGAACGGTGGGGGCTGCCACGGGAACGGTGCGGGCTGCCATGGGAACGGTGGGGGCTGCCACGGGAACGGTGGGGGCTGCCATGGGAACGGTGGGGGCTGCCGCGGGAACGGTGTGGGCTGCCATGGGAACGGTGGGGGCTGCCATGGGAACGGTGGGGGCTGCCACGGGAACGGTGGGGGCTGCCATGGGAACGGTGGGGGCTGCCGCGGGAACGGTGCGGGCTGCCATGGGAACGGTGCGGGCTGCCACGGGAACGGTGCGGGCTGCCATTGGAACGGTGGGGGCTGCCACGGGAACGGTGGGGGCTGCCATGGGAACGGTGGGGGCTGCCACGGGAACGGTGGGGGCTGCCATGGGAACGGTGGGGGCTGCCGCGGGAACGGTGCGGGCTGCCATGGGAACGGTGCGGGCTGCCACGGGAACGGTGGGGGCTGCCATGGGAACGGTGGGGGCTGCCACGGGAACGGTGGGGGCTGCCATGGGAACGGTGGGGGCTGCCGCGGGAACGGTGCGGGCTGCCATGGGAACGGTGCGGGCTGCCATGGGAACGGTACACTTGCACAGTCCGTCTAACACCCACACCGTCCCTCCAACAACTTCCCACACCCCCATCAACAGCCCCCAACTGTTCACTCATAATCTCCCCAACACTCCACCATATAACTACAATATCAAGTTACAGAGGTGACTATCACTGGTGAAGATATATGTCTTAGGTACACATATTAGAGACGAGAGTGTAAGAGATACAGTGGGTGTTTGAGTGGGAGATAAATTAGGGACTTTTTGGTTTTACTTGTGAATAAGCCATAGGTTGGAACATTTATTAATTAATCAGGGAGTGAGTTCCAAAGACTGGGCGCTTTTATTTGCATGGTGTGTTTGCACAGATTTAGCCTGACTGGGGATATCAAAGAGATATTTATTTCTGGTGTGGTGCTCTTGGGTTATATTACACCTATCAAAGAAAAGTTTCAGATCACGATTAGTATTTAGGAACTAGGTTTTGTACATGTAGATAGCACATGAGAATGTGTGGAGTGAGTGTATGTTTAACAATTCACTATGTCGGGTAACAGGAAGCCAGAGTGTATTCACACACGTTAGGCTTTCATCTAATATTGTAGGTCTTTTTTGTGTTTAGTGTGAGTTTGTTGGTTGACATCCACGAGTAGACTTTGTTTTATTCATTGTTGACAATATTATTTAGTGTGTGTGGGTTGGAGGTCAGAATAGATGAGGGTAGTATCGTCAGCAAATAGAATAGGTTTAAGAATGTTAGAAACATCTGGCAAGTCATTGTTGTATACAAGAAATAGGAGAGGTTTAAGATGGTGCCCTGTGGAACCCCCTACTGTCAATGGTAGAGTGGGGAAGGTTATGCTATTGATAGCTACATATTGGTGTCTGTCACTGAGAGAGGAGCGAATATAGTCCAGAACAAGGCCTCGGATACCATAGCAGTGAAGTTTAAGGAAGAGGTAGTTATGGTTTACATGATCAAAGGCCTTTCTCAGGTCAATGAAGAGGCCAATTGGAAACTCATAATTTGTCAAGGACTGAGTAGATTATAATGTGCTTGTGGTCGATCTCGAACCCAATGACGACGTTTATTGAATTTTGTAACTGTAACTTGTTTAACTAAATGGATTGTGGGGTTCAGTCCCTGAGCCCATTATGTGCCTCTGTAACCTTTTCCACTACCGCCCACAAGATGGGTATGGGGTGCATAATAAATGAACTAATCTAACTAAACTAGTGAGTGAATGATGGATACAACAAGTGTCGGGCTGACTGGTAAAAGGAGAAGAGAGGCTGTCTGTGAGATAAGTGGTAACATGGGTCTAAGTCACTGGGATTTTTCTGGCATAGTTAGCACCAATTGATGAAAAGAAGCTATTAAATTCAGTTGCCGTTTCTAAGTCTGTTGCAGATGTGATAACCGTCCTTGGAGAGTTTTATTTTTTTTTTATTTTTTATTTTTTTTTGAGATATATACAAGAGTTGTTACATTCTTGTACAGCCACTAGTACGCGTAGCGTTTCGGGCAGGTCCCTGGAATACGATCCCCTGCCGCGAAGAATCGTTGTTACAACCAAGTACTCATTTTACTGTTGCGTTAAACAGAGGCTACAGTTAAGGAATTGCGCCCAGTAAATACTCCCCGGCCAGGATACGAACCCATGACATAGCGCTCGCGGAACGCCAGGCGAGTGTCTTACCACTACACCACGGAGACTGTTAAAGTGGTTAGTGGTTGTGTACACCTTGATTATCTGCTTGTTATGTGATTGTTGTTTAGATCCTGGCATGTTAGAGATGGCTCTTCGTATACTTTTCATATTTCCTTTTCCTTCTTCAAATCTGTTATCATAAAAGAAACTTTGGCTCTTCGATTATATTGATAAGCATTGATGAGTATCTCTTAACGTCTCCTTTTGTAACTAGGCCAATCCTATGGGGTTTTTCATATTTGTGTTTCTTGTTGATTGCTTTAAGTAAGCCACTCGTGAGCCAGGGGTTGTATAATCTTTTGTCAGTTACCTGCTTGGTGAGGAGGAGAGGACAGTCAGTGTTGTAGAGACTTACAGTTTCGGAGAGGAAGATGTCGGCTAATGAATTTATATCCTGTGTATTGTTAAATTCAGATTCCCAGTTTATATTATGAAGTGCATTTATGAGGTTACTTATTAGTGATTTGCTGTGTAGTGTAAAGGTAAGTTTCCTGGTATCTGAAGGTGTTATGTCCATGTTTGCTGAGAGGAAGGGAGGGTAGTGGTCAGTTGGTCTGTCTGTGATTATACCAGAGACAAGTGCTGTTATGTTAGTCCATATGTGGTCCAGCAGATGTTTGAGTGATTCGTGTAGACTTGATGATTGTGGGGATTCGTATACAGGAGTTCATGCTGTTAAGGAGGTACTCGCCTTTGGGGGAGGGGGGGGATGCTATTTTGTTTTTTTTTGACAAAGGTCAATGTTAAAGTCACCTCCTAAGATGATGTGATTTTTGTTGAGTTTGTTGTTTATGATTAGGTTCCTTATATTATCTGAGAATGCAGTTGTATTAGTATTAGGAAATCTATACACAGCTCCTATAGTTATTATAGGGTAGCAGCCTACCCTAAAATTGTCTCACCCTAAAATAAGACATGAGACAAAGACGTGTCACGTGGTTATTGTGAGACCGTGACGTGGCGGGGTTATGAGACTCACCTGGGGACACGTGGTGTAGACGGTCAGGGTAGACAGGGTACTCACCTGGGGACACGTGATGTAGACGGTCAGGGTAGACAGGGTACTCACCTGGGGACACGTGGTGTAGACGGTCAGGGTAGACAGGGTACAGCCTCACGGACGGGAAGCCAGCCTGGTAGATGAACTTCCTGGGCTGAGGGTCGGCAGGCCAGGCTGCACACACCGCCATCACCACCACCTGCCAGGGAGGACCAGGCCGCTATTAGTGCTTGTGTACACCCTCTCACAACCCTACATGTCCCTTACCCTCTCTCACAACCCTACATGTCCCTTACCCTCTCTCACAACCCTACATGTCCCTCACCCCCTCTCACAACCCTACATGTCCCTTACCCCCTCTCACAACCCTACATATCCCTCACCCCCTCTCACAACCCTACATGTCCCTCACCCCCTCTCACAACCCTACATGTCCCTTACCCCCTCTCACAACCCTACATGTCCCTCACCCCCTCTCACAAACCTACATGTCCCTCACCCCTCTCACAACCCTACATGTCCCTCACCCCCTCTCACAAACCTACATGTCCCTCACCCCCTCTCACAACCCTACATGTCCCTCACCCCCTCTCACAACCCTACATGTCCCTCACCCCCTCTCACAACCCTACATGTCCCTCACCCCCTCTCACAACCCTACATGTCCCTCACCCCCTCTCACAACCCTACATGTCCCTCACCCCCTCTCACAACCCTACATGTCCCTCACCCCCTCTCACAACCCTACATGTCCCTCACCCCCTCTCACAACCCTACATGTCCCTCACCCCCTCTCACAACCCTACATGTCCCTCACCCCCTCTCACAACCCTACATGTCCCTCACCCCCTCTCACAACCCTACATGTCCCTCACCCCCTCTCACAACCCTACATGTCCCTCACCCCCTCTCACAACCCTACATGTCCCTCACCCCCTCTCACAACCCTACATGTCCCTCACCCCCTCTCACAACCCTACATGTCCCTCACCCCCTCTCACAACCCTACATGTCCCTCACCCCCTCTCACAACCCTACATGTCCCTCACCCCCTCTCACAACCCTACATGTCCCTCACCCCCTCTCACAACCCTACATGTCCCTCACCCCCTCTCACAACCCTACATGTCCCTCACCCCCTCTCACAACCCTACATGTCCCTCACCCCCTCTCACAACCCTACATGTCCCTCACCCCCTCTCACAACCCTACATGTCCCTCACCCCCTCTCACAACCCTACATGTCCCTCACCCCCTCTCACAACCCTACATGTCCCTCACCCCCTCTCACAACCCTACATGTCCCTCACCCCCTCTCACAACCCTACATGTCCCTCACCCCCTCTCACAACCCTACATGTCCCTCACCCCCTCTCACAACCCTACATGTCCCTTACCCCTCTCACAACCCTACATGTCCCTCACCCCCTCTCACAACCCTACATGTCCTCACCCCCTCTCACAACCCTACATGTCCCTCACCCCCTCTCACAACCCTACATGTCCCTCACCCCCTCTCACAACCCTACATGTCCCTCACCCCCTCTCACAACCCAACATGTCCCTTACCCTCTCTCACAACCCTACATGTCCCTCACCCCCTCTCACAACCCTACATGTCCCTCAACCCCCTCTCACAACCCTACATGTCCCTCACCCCCTCTCACAACCCTACATGTCCCTCACCCCCTCTCACAACCCTACATGTCCCTCACCCCCTCTCACAACCCTACATGTCCCTCACCCCCTCTCACAACCCTACATGTCCCTCACCCCCTCTCACAACCCTACATGTCCCTCACCCCCTCTCACAACCCTACATGTCCCTCACCCCCTCTCACAACCCTACATGTCCCTCACCCCCTCTCACAACCTACATGTCCCTCACCCCCTCTCACAACCCTACATGTCCCTCACCCCCTCTCACAACCCTACATGTCCCTCACTCACAACCCCTCTCACAACCCTACATGTCCCTCACCCCCTCTCACAACCCTACATGTCCCTCACCCCCTCTCACAACCCTACATGTCCCTCACCCCCCTCTCACAACCCTACATGTCCCTCACCCCCTCTCACAACCCTACATGTCCCTCACCCCCTCTCACAACCCTACATGTCCCTCACCCCCTCTCACAACCCTACATGTCCCTCACCCCCTCTCACAACCCTACATGTCCCTCACCCCCTCTCACAACCCTACATGTCCTTCACCCCCCCTCTCACAACCCTACATGTCCCTCACCCCCTCTCACAACCCTACATGTCCTCACCCCCCCTCTCACAACCCTACATGTCCCTCACCCCCTCTCACAACCCTACATGTCCCTCACCCCTCTCACAACCCTACATGTCCCTCACCCCCCTCTCACAACCCTACATGTCCCTCACCCCCTCTCACAACCCTACATGTCCCTCACCCCCCTCTCACAACCCTACATGTCCCTCACCCCCTCTCACAACCCTACATGTCCCTCACCCCCTCTCATAACCCTACATGTCCCTCACCCCTCTCCCCCCTCTCACAACCCTACATGTCCCTCACCCCCTCTCACAACCCTACATGTCCCTCACCCCCTCTCACAACCCTACATGTCCCTCACCCCCTCTCACAACCCTACATGTCCCTCACCCCCCTCTCACAACCCTACATGTCCCTCACCCCCTCTCACAACCCTACATGTCCCTCACCCCCTCTCACAACCCTACATGTCCCTCACCCCCCTCTCACAACCCTACATGTCCCTCACCCCCTCTCACAACCCTACATGTCCCTCACCCCCTCTCACAACCCTACATGCTTGACGACACGAGACAGAGTCATTGTCTTCATCCCCAAGATTCCATCACTATACATTTATATTATTTATTTACTTATATACTAGAAGATGCACTGGGGGGTTAAGAGAGTACATGATAATGATGACTTAAATTCTTGTAAAGCCACTAGCACGCATAGCGTTTTAAGCAAATCTAATCAAGTATAATCAGAAGTATAAGTATAATAAAAAACAGTACATTCATACATGACATCCTCTCCCCTACACACCTGGCAGAGGAGGCCAGTTTTGAGCAGTTGTCGGGCCCCAACGAGGCCCGTAGGTTGGATATGTTGGGCCCTCCTCAACCCGCTCCTGCTGTTTCTTCCAGAAAGACTACGCGACACGACGGACTTCCTGAACAAGATACAGATGTTACGAGACCCCGTACCAGTGGGTACACTCCTGTTTTGTTTAGATGTAGTCTGTCTGTAGACAAGCTGTCCACAGAGGGAGGCGACAGAGCGAGTTGGGATTGTTTTGATAGGAACAAGCATAAAATACGGGATGAATTGAGACAAGCGGGGGTATAGAGACCTCCGACGAAGCAGCCACTTGAAGAAGCCACCCTACATGTCATCAGAGACTATCCTCATGATTGATGGAAAGACTTATCTGCAGATATAGCGGACAGCTATAGACGCGTCTAGTAGCGTGGCCATAGTGGAAATCTTTGTACATATAGTGTTCGAAACAGAAAGAAGTAACAGACAACAGGATCTCATCCTTTTCTTACGCTATATTGATGACATTTTCGGCATCATGGCAGGAGGAAGGCAGCAGCTACATGACTTTTTCAACTGGACTAACACAGTACAGGAACAACCGTGGACATCTTCAAGAGGAAACTAGATTGTTTCCTCCAAGGAGTGCCGGACCAACCGGGCTGTGGTGGGTATGTTGGCCTGCGGGCCGCTCCAAGCAACAGCCTGGTGAACCAAACTCTCACAAGTCAAGCCTGGCCTCGGGCCGGGCTTGGGGAGTAGAAAAACTCCCATAACCCCATCAACCAGGTATCCATAGCAACCGGAAGTTCACGCTGGAAGAAAATGAACAGACGACACCGTTTTTGGATACGCGAGTCTACATAGACGAGGGAGACAGAACACCTCAAAACAACTACCTCCTGCAAACCGACGAATCTTCATTCGTATCTCATATATCTCAAACCAAGCCACCCGTTATCCTTCAAAAGATCCCTGCCCTAGTCCTTGGGCTTAAGTTGAAAGAAAATACCTACAACAGACATTGGAAAGAACAGAACCTACAACAGGCATTGGGAAACCTATGAGACCTTTTCCGAAACAGGGGCTACCCTGAAAATATAATGAGAAACAGCAACGAAGGTATTGGGGTTAGACACAGAAACCCTCCATGGTATAGGAAGGAGGAGAGAACCAATGGACAGGTGGGTTTTACCAGTGATGTATTTCCCAGGAACAGCAGGTCCGCTCCAACGGAGTATGAGGGACATGTGGGAGTGGCTCCGAAACACTTATGAAAAACACCCAACTTGGCCGACTTTCCCACAACGGAAAGTCGTTATGGGAGCTGTTGTGACTCTCCCATAACGGAAAGTCAAAAAGAAAGACTTTTTGGAAAGTCGAAAGTAAGGATGCCCTTCGTTTAACAGACACACACACACCACCACTCAAGCACTGAACTCATTTAGCGTACACTTTAATATTGGGAACAGTCTGCATCCTCCTGAAGTGATAGTTCTTACTGTGTTTATGTGCTGATGGACCACCAGAAAGTTTACTTTTTGTACTTATAATTTTATAGGTACCAGAATTTTATAAGTATAATTTTCTGATTCCAGAAAAATGTAATTAAGTCCAAAGTTTGAACATTCCTAGGCCTAGTATAGCATATACTTACTATATTAGGCCTAAGACACCGTGTATTTGGCCTAGGATTGCTACGAGATGTTAGGTTACCGAAAGTATTTATGTTCTAATTAAAAATGTTTCCCATTCGTCTAAATTCAGCAATACAAAAGTCAGCTTTCTGGTGGTCCATCACTACATGTTGTACTGTCGAGCTCAGTTACTGTAAGAACTGTCACCTTAGGATGGTGTGATTGTACAATGTAGAGAGCAGAGTCACTAGTTTTTCCCCGGGAGACTCTGGGCCCCTGAGGGCCGACATGCCTTCCTGGGTCATGACGGGCCCCGCGGCCCACATGGCCCCGCCTTACACTCCTTATTGTCCATATATCTTAACACACCTACTCTTAATTGCTGTTTATCTTATTATCCAGGTTTAGTTGTAATAGTTTGCATTGTATTTGAACAGGTGCTGCGTCATCCAGCAGATGATATTAGAATGTTTCCGTTCGTGTAAACCTCGGGTTCAGATCCGGATTCCGTACACCGAC